AGGCTTAAAATTTCGTGAATAATGAAATTTATAGAGAAATTTTAAATTCCGTGATAAATATTTTCGTGATTTTATTTTAATAATAATAATGACCACACCTTATTTAATTAAAACACGGCAGATTCAATGTTTGAGACGGACTCTTGTGTCAAGGGGCACCATGTCTACAAATCAGTGTGGACACCAGTGATGGGGAAGATCATCATCTTTGACCTTGGCAGTATGCTTAAAATAGCAATACAGAGTAACAGAGACATCAGCTTGACCGAGAACACGACTTGACACAAGGGCACGCGCACATTTATTAGTAAGGCATGGTTGACCATGCCTCTCAATTAATATTTATTTTTGGGGGTTTAATTTTTCGTGATGCAAACAGTGATCACGAAAATACGAAAATTTATTCCTCACGAAATTTTTTGGCTATACGGTATATAACATGAATTAATATATGGTTGTGTTTTTAAAATACAATTATTTTATTGATCAAACATAATAAAACAATGATGTGCAAGACTAAATACCTTCTCTTAGCTGGAACTGGAAGCCTAGAACATCCACTAAGTATTGCAGTTGATCATAGGCAGCTGCTGGGTCGGGCATAGATGGGCAATGCACAACCAAAAACTTTGACCGGAAATGAGAATTTAATTAATGACGTCATTTTTAGTCATAAAAAATTACCATGGGTCCATGGCTAGCAAGAGACAGTCTTTTCTGCTTTCCTTCATCAACAAGCCTTCCAAGAGGACTAGGACAAGTACTTTACAGGTTGGATAGAGCTTTACAGATAAAAGAGGGTGCCTTTTGGGTATATATCTATGGTATATCATATGTATGTGTGCGTTGAGTATACGCCAAAAATACACGAAAGAAAGTGGGTGTGGTCAAAATCGCGGCACGCTTCGCACGCCATTTTTCTTACCCCAACCACTCTGCCAATCCTGCAGCCACCTATGCAGTTGATCCAAGCATAGCTAGATAAAAAATTGCCTCCTTTTCCCAGTTCTGAAATCTGCTGAGCATGCGCAACCACACGCGCATTTTAGAGCACACGCTTCTTTAATTAACAAAATGGCGGAATGAGGTGGCAACAATAGGGAGAGGGCAACTTTTTCTTATTTTTGATTTATTTGAAAAGCTGTGGACCTGCGCATGGATAGTTGGAGTAGAATGGTCTAAAAATTAGCCTTGTAGTATTGTTGAAAGACCACGATACCCCTGCTTAACTGATTGACAGAAGATGGTGATAATGAAGACAAAAAAACTGGACTGAAAAAAACGGCCGGTTCACTGATTTTTTACTTTCCTCTTAGACAAGGTTTAGAGTTGCTCTAGTGGTACCAATGGAGTCCTCTGGTCAAGATAAGGTCCTCTAAGAAGTCTGGTAAGCATAGGAGTTCGTTTTCCCGGTATAGCAAGGCTGCAAAAGTTGTGGTAGCCATATTGTTTTTGGGTGAATCCTACTTAGTAATGCTACTGCGTTACTAATAGAATAGTTGGTAATAGTTAATTCTAGTATTACTTCTTTTATACACTCTCAAAAAGATACAAAAACCTGATAAAAGGTCAATAAATCAAATTTTACCCATACTGTACCTTTTAATTATCATTGCAGAGGATGAACATAAGTCACTTCAGAGTTACTGTACAAGATGATTTATTGGCGAGGAATTAATAATGGCGATTAGTGGTTCTATGAAGAAATCGCCAATATAAAATCCGCCATCTTGTTTCAAACCGAGCATGCTTAATGGCACATGGAACAAAATTGCCAATATAAAATTTGCCAATTAAATTTCCACAGGCAAATTTACCAAATGTCACTCTTGCCAATAAATCATCTTGTACGATATGAGATGAAATAGGACGCTGAACAGTGAAAAAAGCCCATAAAGAGTAGCTCACCTATGCTACATTGCTAGGCAACCTAATAATCTTAATTGGATAATCCAACCACACAACGGAAGTTTCCTATCCCTTTAATTTACTTTAACATCTATATGATGTAATTATAGGTGACACTCACAACCACATTCGGCATTGTATTTCTTAAAAGTTTCATTTTCTTTACGAATTTCTAAAAATAAACTATAATATCCAACTACGCCCATGATCTGTCCAATAGTTTGATGTTGAAACTACATTTAATAATAAAATAATTATAACAATAGGATAGATAAAACTTATACCTAAAGACTGTTCCATTACATGACACTCATAATTATATTTAGCTAAACGACATCTCTCAATAGGAATATGAGGAGCTAATTCCATTGTCTGATTAAGAAATAAAAGAATTAATAGATATAGATCAACTTAAAATAAACCTCATAAGCTTTATCCAGTACTGTAGCTAGTAATTCATCTTTATGTACTTCAATGAATGAGTTAATTAATTCCCCAGTAACAGGATGATTACAAAATAATATAATCTATAAAATAAAAGTAAGTAGATAATATACTTTTGTCTGTCTCACTCTTACTCCAAAATTTTCTTCTTCAATTTGTTCTTCCTTTTTTCTCTGTCTCTTCTCAGTTTCTTTCAAATCAAAAATATCAAGAATCATGACAAAAATTATCAATGAAACCTTTAATACCTTTTCTTTTTGTAATTAGTTGTGTATCCATTAATGTTATTCTTTCTTGTAATTTCTCTATTATTCTTTTATTATCTACTAATGGCTGATAGTCTGGTCTTGTCATTGCTTCAAGATGAAGTTTGCAGTCATCAATTTCAAGAGACATTCCTTTTCTTACTTTGCTAGCAGCTTTAATCAATTATAATCATTAGTATAATTAATAAAGCTACTCTAACCTGAATCAATATTACTAGTAAGTGATCTTAAAAAGTCAAACTTCATTTTTGATAATTTGTCTAACAATTCTTTGTTTTCTTCTTTTATCTCATTAAACTGAGAGCTCAATACAGTCAACTCTTCATAAAGTGGTTCTTCCTATTAATAATAATTATAATTAATACAAACTAGTGAGATATACCTCAACTTCTTTAATTGATTCGATATCACATTGAACAGACAATGATTCTTCCTAATGATTATTATAATACGTAAACTACAGTATTGCAGGAAATTTTGGAGAGAGTAAATTTGGCAAATTACGAAATTTTGATGGTTGGTGAGCATTAATTTGACAAATTTGTGGCCATAGGTCATGTGAGCATGCACATAATGACCCAAAATTGGAGATCTTTATTATTCTAGCGAATGATTATCAAAATGTAAAATTTGCCAAATTAAGCTCCCTCTAAAATTTAGTGGTGCACAGTCAACTGCATCAACCATTTAAGAGCCTCTGCTTAAGGTGTTCAAAGAATTTAAAATTAAACTTCTAACCTCAAGTACTTGAGTCTTTGATATTTCTTGTTTCAATTGATTTGTTTCCTATAAAATTGGATTACACAGCTTGGTAGCATCAGTGAAATACCTTCTCTTTGCTACTGATAGAATCTCTTAGTTTATATTCAGCTTCTTCAAGTATAATATAAGAAATAACCTGTACATATAATTAACATAATATATCAGTCATCATACAATCAACTGAATATATTGTGACATTGTATAGGTACTAAAATGTAACTAATAAAAGGAATGATTCTATTAACTGACATCAGTATGTTGTAGTAAGTCTTGATCCTTTTCTTTTAATTCCTATACAAAAATATAATTATAAAACAATTTTCAATTATTCGTATACCTTTTGTCTAACATCTTGTCTCCTCCATAATGTTAAGTTACCAATAGTCAGTTTCTTTAATCCTTGTCCCATTAGTATATGAATATTCTCTATCATCCTCAATACAGTAAACCCAACATCAGAGAAAGGAAAGGAGCAAGTGACAGTTATTGATTTGGAACGCTCTATATAAGTGATCTTCAGTAATTTCCCAGATACTTTTGCAAGGAGCTCCATAATATCTTTGAGTAGATGTTCCTCAGGCTTCCAGTCAAAAATAAAAGTAACTGTTTCACATTGAAGATGAGAAATGGAAGCAAATCTTTCCTTCAAACAAAGACTGAGGGAGAGTGACTTGCAGAATTCCTTTAATTCTGTTCTATATGCCTCAATGTATCTTGTGGCTTCAGTGATCTCCATTTGTTCAACTACACTATGAAGGAGCTCAATATCAGTCAGTGAGCACTCATCTTGAATAAGATGCAAGACACTAGGAATATTAGTACATTGTTCCACTTTTCGTCTAAGAATAGCGCCACAACAAGACAGGAATTCTTTTATTTCTTCTAAAGGAGGAGATATCCGTTTAATGATCTTTCCAACATTGTAAAACATCTTTCCATAAGACATTATCATTGATCTGAAGCCCCCCAGTAAGCCTTCAGAAACAGGAACATGTATTTCAACTATAAAAGATATATCGTTTTGGTGGTACATGAAAGATGCATATACCTTGAGGAGATAAAGGTTGGGAAGATGCATCAGAAGATGAGTCTATTTATAAAATAAAACATTTAGCAATTATTTACAGTGTTCAAGATAATTATACCAGATTGTGTATGAGTTGGTATCTTGGTTTTATCAGTAGTTGTACTATCTATAGATATCAATAAATGTACTATCGTTTTATTAGTAATTATTATTACTTTGTGGAACTACAAGTAAATCATGAGGTTTAGTTTCAGGAACTACATGCACTTCAGGAGTAGGAAAATACTTACCTAATAACAAGAGTACTTGCTAATAAGCATTAGAACAGAGTCATTGTAGTTACAAACACAATATATTATACGATAATACTCACTAATATCGTCCAGTATAGTTTGTCCTAGCGATACATTAGTACTGATTGTACACAATACATTAGCAAATGTATGTAAACTGTTGGGATCAGTTTGAACAGCTTCTTTGACAGCAGTTAATAGAGCCTCATGTTGATTAGGAATAGAGGGACTAGCTGACACCACTCTACTAACTGCTTCTTGTGTTAACATACATTCACCATAAAGTAACCGAGCAATACTAACAGAATCACAAAGAGACTGAGACAGGACAGTATGCCGATTATTAAAAATATTAATAAGAACATGGTGTTCTATGATAGAAAATACAGTGATTATAGTTAGATACAGTTATGGTTGACTCACTTAACTTCTCAGCTACAGCAGTTTCATTCATAGATCGTAGAGCATCTGACAGTGAGTACAAGTTGGCTCCTCCTCTACTGTCAACATTATCAGCTCTACCTAACCATTGGGAGAGGCACTCTGTCATACAGCGAGGCACATCACTATGATGCTTTGCCTCTATGACGTCCAATGTATTCTTCTTCAGTCCTAGTCTCAGTCCAAACTTATACCATTTTGTTTCTGGGAAGCAACATTTCTCCAATAAACAAAGAATATAATCCAAGTCACCAATATCTAGGTCAAAAGTCATGGCGGATTTCACATCATCAACATTAATACCTAAGCAAGTTTGACTAGTGGCCATAGTTCCATTAAAAGAAACTGCCCAAGGCCAGGGCCTCAGAACAAGACTAACACTGAACAACAGAGACCTTCTCCTTCGCTTAGTTTTGCTGCTCTATCTAGGGGTGAAGTCAAAAGAGGCGCGTGGTCATAAAAAAAAGGTGGGGCTGGGTCTGCCTAGGATCCAGGATCACAGCACCTGATTACAGTATTGACACAGACAGTTAAAAAGCACTAGAATACACCAAAGAAGTGAGTTTATGTTATGTATTGAATGTGAACAGATGGGTAATATTTTTAATTTTTATTCTCAATTTCTTTCTATTTTTTCAATTTTAAAGGTGCCGTACGGGATCAACTTAAGAGTTGTGATTTTGGGGAACCTGAAAGAATATTCCGAGGAATCAATTCCATTTACAAGAAGTGTTTCAAAGTGTCATCCCATTAAGCAAATCTCCAACAATTGAATAATAAATACATTTCATTAAGTACATTCATAATAATAAAAATTGAGAGGGTGATTTTGTGGCCAATTTTTGGAAAAAACTATGAGCTGTAGCCTTGGGTACTTTTCAGAATTTGACATTTTCTAAAAATGACCATAACTCAAAAAATTTGAAGTCAGAATCACCTCAAACTTTCTACACAGCATAAGTATATCGGAATATGTAATAAAAATTTGGGATAATTTTGGATCAATTTTTTGCAAAAAAGCATGGGCCGTAGTACATAGTTTAATAATACTATTTATTATTATTTTTATTTATTTATTTATTGTAAAGAAATGCTCAGGAAACTATTGAGGAGCTAACAGAGAGTCTAAGAGAAGAGGAACAATTATTAAAGACTTTAATGCAGAAGACTAAAGACAGAGAGTGTATCAAGTAAGTGTACGACTACACATACGTCATTATGATCCACTATTAGCTTTATATCTTATAATGTGTGAATTTGTAATTTTTGGTCTCACCAGTGATTAGTGTAGACAATGACTATGTACATGTACATGTGGTTACTTTGTCTTTAATTAAATTTTTGTTTTATTTATTTATTTATGACTTCATTAATATAGATATGAGTTTAAACTGCAAAAGAGTCTACAAGTTCATTTTAATGAATCCTCAACAGTTGATAATGTACAAGGATGTATCTTCTTAACATACAATTGTCGTGTTTTTTAATTTAATTATTTACTTAATAATTTCTGGACTATACACACATACTTCTGCATACATTTACAAGTCCTCATACAACATCAATCAATGTACATATCAACATTAACACCTGGAGACACCCACGTAACTTAATCATTATGTATGTATATAAGCAGTTGCTTTTAGTAAGATACTTATAAAAAACAACCATCAAGAAATCCATTCTCATAGTTCCTATAGCTAATCTATTTTCTCTCCTTGAACACTCATCCTGATTTCTTCATGGTCTTAGACCTCAAACCCTTATGAACACGTGGCTCATAACTATTCATGGTTCTAACTCAAAGGCCATAAAGAGCCTTCTTTGCCAGTTAGAAGTGTTGCTAAGGTTGATTCAGAAGTGGAGAAGTCAGCAAATGCTTCAATTTACTTACCAGGCCAGGTGGTTCATGGAAATAATAGCAAGTAAAATATTTTCGGAATATAAGGGCTTCTGAATTTTTCCATCATTGAACTTTATGTTTACACCACTTTTCATGTGGTATTCAGTCAAATACTATACCATGTACACGTACATCATTATGTATCAGTAAAAAACGAGAGTGATTTCAGAGCCAAAATAAAATATCTAATTTGACAGTTGCATATTATACATGTAAACTATATGCCTCACTAAAAGTAGATTCACCATATACAGTAATCCATTGAACTATGTAGCATTATTATTGTACATAAATATTTATTGTACATGTACTGGTACTTATTTCATTATGAATATTTATCATTATTATTATCTTTTATTCCTTAACTCCAATTAGTTGCCAATTATGAGGAGAGATGATGGAGAGATTGAGTCCTTTTCATTTGATGTTAGTGCCGTAATGTGATCATGTGGACATAGCAAACTCACTGTGGGGACTATCAACAAATGGAGTCAATGAAGAATTACTAACTATACAAAATTAAATAGATAAATGTCTATTTATAATACATTATTATATATAGCGAGTAATTTTTGCAGGATTACAATTACAAAAATAAAAACTAAACCAGTCCATTTCATTCAGCCCTGTTATCAATATATGTGTCTATGCTCATACTTTGATTTGCATTCCCTGATCCTCTTCAACCTACAATAAACAGTGAGTATAATACTAGTTTAATATGTACAGTATTGTACTAATGGAAATATGTATATGTACATGTACATATATTTTATAACTTTCAAGAAGTAGAACTTCTATACAGTTAAATCTTAATAAGAACCAGCTATGCATGCAAGGTGGCGAAAACATTTATTCCACTAATGATTTTTGAGATCACAAAACATAAGGTTTACTGACCTTGCTTCCTCTGCCTCTTGTATTTCTGATCTCTCTTTATCTGTTAACTCTTTCATTTTCTCTCTATTGTCTCTAAATAATTATAAACAGTAAGAGGTGTATGTAAGTGTGTGTGTATACATAATGTGTGTGTGTTTTCATTAGTACTTGTAATATATGACATATCCATCAACATCATATAATCCTAATGAGTAAAATCTGTCTGAAGTGATGGAATACCATTTCAACTTATTCTCAATATCAAGACATGATATCTCAACTGGAAATGATTTACCCTAATAGAATCAGAGAGAGTATTTATACATGTATACTTCAACGATTAACCTGTGTAATAAAAATTAATTTTGGAGCCAATTTTTGGGGCTATAGCCTTGTTTTTTTTTCAAAAATTGGCTATTTTAAAAATGATCATAACTCAAAAAATATTTGTTGGAAACAGCTCAAACTTTTTACACAGTATAAGGACATCAATATGTATCAGAAAATGTAATAAAAAATTAGGAATGATTTTGGAGCAATTTTTTGGAAAAAAGCCATGGTCTATAGCCTTTGCTGTTTTTTCAAAAATTGACACATTTAATAAAAGGCAAAAATTATTTGTCGAAAACAGCTCAAATTTTCTACATAGCATAATGACATTAATGTATATTAGAAAATTTAATAAAAATTTTGAGTGATTTTGGTCCCAATTTTTAGAAAAAACCATAGCCATTGCTTTTTTTTCCAAAAATTGGCTTAAAAAATTCTTATAACTCAAAAAATTATTTTTTCAGAAACAGCTAAACCTTATACATAGCATTATGACATCAATACATGTATGTATCAGAAAATCTAATAAAAATTGGGGGTATTTCACAAAGAAACAAAGGGAAAAAAACTGCACTCTCTGTATCACCACTCACAAGCATGTGCTTCTTAAGACACTGTTACACCTCTTTTCAAGTCGGTTGTCCAACTGTGATGCGTATGCGTGGTTGTTGTCCATTCATTTTAGTGCATCTAGCACTGACATTGCGTAGTATACAAAACTAGCTTTTGAAGGGAAAAACAGATCAGAAAATAGGTGCAAGAGCTTGCATTTTCCAATTTTAGCCTATTATGGGTGACGCTGCACATGCTCAGATCTGCAGAGATGAAATTGCATGCAACACTGTAATTATTTCTTGGCCAAATTCTGAGCTTATTTTAAATGTTTATTAGCTTTAGACTATGGCATAGCATTTACTGGTTCAGTGTTTTAAATTTATATTTTTAATAAAATCAAAATGTCTATTAGCATATACACCAGTGTATGAACTAACCATTTTAGACTCATAGACATAGAGCGGTCTCAGGGCATCAGGCTGTGGGTGTAACATCGTCTGCAATGAATCATTCTCTTCTTGAAGACTGTAATAAGATTGCCTCTGTAGGGGAAAATAAATAATTTAAACAAACAAATAAATAGAATTCAAGTTCAAGAGGAGGAGGAAAAGAAAAGCATAATGTACCTGTTATTAGCTAGGGTTTTCAATTTTCAACCGAATATTCTTTTCAAGAAATGTAACTGATTTAAATCACAACATGTATATATGTGCATCAGGAAAATTAAAAAAAAACAAAGAATTCTTTACTTTTCATTTTTGGATGAAATTTGGCCAATATCCCTGTACAATAGTACAGGGACTTTGCGCAAATTCTTAGCAACTTTGTCTTTAAATAGTGTTATTTATCTATTATTTTATAACAGTTGATACCATAATATATGAGGCTGTATCCTTTTAAATACCAGTACATGTACACCAATAATAATTCACATACTTATTGATTCACATTAGCTAAGAATGTGCACAACCACTGATGATACACATGTATTAAAATTGGGGCTTATTAGTGGTATGTTTCAGAAATCACCTCAGAGTTGTAATTGGAAATGGTAATTCTTATCAGTCCTTTGATTTCAGAGTTTCATGCTGATACATGAAAGTTTAGTCTCACCCACTAACAGTATTACATTGAACTATGGTGGTATATGTGAAGATAGGATATCACATGAGAAGAATAATCCATTAACTGATTAAAGCATATGGTGCATGAACATACTTTATTATATTTATTATTATCTCTTATTCCTTAACTTAAAATGACTGCCAATATACAAGGAAAGATGATGGAGATATTGATTCATTTTAAATTGGTAAATGTTTGTCAAGCATTTTTATTCACCAAAATTTTGTTTCATGTGAGTAGCATGCAGATTTATAACAGAATGACGAAAATTAATTTTAACAATAAATTTAAATTTTTACAAAAATTTAAAGCTATACAATAATTAATTAATTGTGGGGGCTTGCAACAAAAGGAGTCACTAAAGAACAAATTAATTACACAAATTATTAAATAAAAATGTATTTAGAAAAAACAATTTTATTTTAAAATAATTATAGCTAGGCAGCGATTAATTTTTTGGCAGAGTAGCAATACAACTTGATACGACAATTAAAATCAAACCAATCCATTTCAGTCAGATCAACGTCTAAGGCTAAGTTCAGTATATGTATTTTGTGATGTGTTTCCCAATCCCCCTCAACCTACAATAAAATTAATGAGTGCATGAATAATTTACTAACAAAAAGCAGAAGCCTACAGTATAATACCACTGTATACACTAAAGTAAAGGTAATCATTAACTGATTGTACATGTACATGATGAAACATGAGGTTTACTGACCTTGCTTCCTCTGCCTCTTGTATTTCTAATCTCTCTTTATCTGTTAACTCTTTCATTTTCTCTCTATTGTCTCTAAATAATTATAAACAGTAAGAGGTGTATGTAAGTGTGTATGTGTGTGTGTGTGTTCATTAGTACTTGTAATATATGACACATCCATCATCATGTAGTCCAAATGAGTATGTGTATGAAGTGATGGAATACCATTTCAACTTATTCTCAATATCAAGACATGATATCCCAACGGGAAACGATATTCCCTAATAGAATCAGAGAGAGTATTAATAGGTGTATGGTTCAATGATTATAACCTCTGAATAAGAGATATACTCAGCAGGAACTCCACTTAACTCTGACAACTGCAAAAACAATAACAATAATAATAATAATAATTATTATTATTATTATAATGATAGTATGATGTACTAGTATGTAATCAATCCTTACTATAATTTCTTGAAGTACCTTATTAATAACATGCATACGATTATATATATCCAGTATAATTTCTTCTGTTGGATCAACTGAACATTGTGATGGATGCCATCTTATAACATACACCTCTATTTGTCCTTTATCCTTCTCCTTCTCTGGTCCTAATGAATATAATTAATATATTAACTAGACGAATGTAGGACATTGAGGGGCGAGCACGAGCATACACTGACTTGCATGCATGGCCCATTGGAAGACAATTTTATAGCTTGTTCTCCTACCTTTATTATTAGCAAAGAATCTCAGCTGCAATTTAAACATAATTTAACTGTATAGCTAAGCACAGTACTGCTATAGATTTATATCTGCTTTCTTAACTTCTTTTTGCTCGAGAAATGCCTGGACAACAGATCAGTCTTATTTGCTGCAAGTAAGCTTCAGTAAGATTTGCTCGAGCTGGTTTCTTGATAGTCGCCATTTTGTTTCATTGTAACCACACCCACACCAATGAAAATATTTCATTAGAATGCTACCGCATTAGATCATTGATTTTAAATAGAAAGTAGTGTACACATGGGGTGTGACCAGAATAGGCGTGACTGGAGACGTACGTATATACATACATACAGAGGGAGGGAGGGAGACTTTGCCTGAGTGGGGCTCGCTCATGCTCGCGCTCCAATTACTATAAATCCATCATGTAAAGTATACAGTATGAGTATACTGAAATACCATAATAGCACTTTGGTTTGGTGAAGTTTTATTTTGCTAATAGCATGGAAAGCAAAATCACAAATATGAAAAGCACCAATCATTAATGCACATGCTCAGTAATGCATACACAAAATTGCCAAATTAAAAACTGTCAATTACAATTTTATAGCAAAATCACCAAAATAAAGTGCTTTATCTAGTATACTGAGATATACTAACCTTTTAATGGTTCCACGTATATTTCCTTACTAGTATCAATCATCTTATCATGAAGATATACTCTACCAGGGGACACTCTATTCTTCTTACGTAATCTCATTCTACACAATAAGTCACATGATAGTCACATGATAGTCACATGATGTACGTACTTGTCTAATTTAAGGACACAGTCGATTCCTTGTACTTTTGCTTCTTCAATAATTTGTTTCTTAAATTCTCTCACTGATGTGTCCTCAGTAAAAATAGACTCCATCATAAACTCACAAAACTAAAAATAAAATAAAATAAGTAATAATAATTAATGTGTTTTACATACGGCTTTTACCTCTATACTGTTAACTTGTAATAAATACAATTTAATTCTGTGCTCTCCTACTTGTAATGCTCTGCCCAGTCTTACTATCAACTAGTATAAGCAAAGTAATAAAGAGATGAGTGTGTGTGTGTGTTCTTAGTCCTTACATTACAGTAGGTATAATGGAAAAAAGTGAATGATCAAATAAAATGCTAAACTACATGCTTACCTTTGATTCAGATAGATTCATTAATATCTCATCCAGGTTCTTCAATTTATAACCATTGACTCTATACACTCTAAAACCAGTAGGTGGTATACCAATCAATGGAACTAGCTCCTTCTTCAATTGAGCTAATGTTATTCTCTTATCAACTTGTACCTGTATCTCTGTAGTGAATATAATGTTTAATGATCTTTTTATAACGATATAAATTAATATCTATCATTACTTCTTTCTTTTCCTTTATTTTCTTCTTCCATTGATATAATTTTCATTGTTATTCTTCCTTTTCTTGTAGTAGTTGTAGTGGGTGTGGCTTCAGGTCCAGGGGGTATTCTAATGTCCATTAGTATCCAGTTGAAGTGAAACTCAATACATTTGTACGTCCAACTATCATTGAATTCTTTTTGATAATCTTTAGGATCTGATGATACATAGAGCAGCAGCTGCCAGTGAGTATGTGACAGTGTGTGTGTAGAGGAAAAATGAATGTATATACCCAGATATATAATTCGCTGTATTAAATTTCACGATTTTATCCTAAATTCAAATTTTCCACACCCATATACAATTAATTCAAATTTATTTTCACAAATAGCAAAAAAATTTGCAAAATCCATGAAATATATAGCCCGCCTAAAAAAAGGCACCCTACGATAAATAAATATCA